TCAATGAATCCAAATGCAAGCATTTCACCTTTACCCTCCGACGCAGATCCTGTCCACATATCCTTTTCAACTCTGTACCTCTCCCCGTCTCAGACACAGTTCGGTTTCTTGGATTCCTTGTAGACAAAAGACTAACTTGGAACCCATATACCAGACTTAAAAGACAAGAACTTGACCGACTATTTCGCCAGCTATACAGACTACTTAACAGAAAATCTCTCAATAGAAAACAAACTATTAATATACAAGACCATACTCAAACCCATCTGGACCTACGGACTTCAACTGAGGGGGACAACTAAATTTTCGAACATGAAACGCAACCAATCCTTTCAGTTTAAAGTCCTCCGTATAATAGTCAATGCTCCTTATTACGTTACAAACAAAACCCTTCATCCCTTTACATCCCTTATGTCCTTGATGTTATTCCATCCCGATTCTCAAATTTTCACATGAACCTAATCCACCATCCTAACCCTTTAGCACAATCTTTATCTAGCTCCAGTCATCCCTACAATCCACTTCGAAGGTTGAAACGGTAGTGGCCTCGAGATCTCTTGTAAAGACGTCACTGGAGTTCTGGCAATGGCCAGCTTCTCCACTCAAGTCATGAGTGTTTGTGGTTTTATTGGCCTCTCTCAGTCTCCACTGGACTGGTAATGCCGGCGACGCGGTTGAGAGAGAAGCGCTGGGATCTCTTAGAGTCTCTTAGAGTATGTCCTTCACACTTGGGGGAAAGGGCTGGACTCAGAGATCTCTTGCCTGATTGTAAATATTGTAATTAAGTATCCTTACGTTTTTCAATTTATTTCTTTTACTTAAAATTTATTTAATTTTGCTACGAATTTCTGTATTTTATTTAATTTTAACTCTAAGTTACATTTCCTTAGTTTATTATAGTTTTTGCCTTTGTTATATATATATATATATATGTATATTTATTTATTTGTTTTTTTATTGTATTGTATATATGGTATGAATGTGCCTCACTCAGCCTTAGTACTCAGTACCCTTAAGTGTGGCAAAATGTATTATTTTTCAATAAAAAAAAATAAATAAATATTAAGAAATCACTTCTGGAGACAAATGAGGCTTTGTTAAAAAACTTTATACCGTCTACACACATAACACCTTTATTCCTCTACATAAACATCACACAATAACAATGAACAAAGAACTCCTACTGCTGTGGGTAACCTCACCCAAGCCAACCTGCTCGGTTTATAACAGCTCAGCAGTACTGTCAGATAACATGCATTAACTCTACACACTCCCGCTTTTACAATTTATACTTTAAATTGTAAACTGGTTTAAAATAGCAAAACAAAACTTAAAATATTCAATACTAAAATTTACACGTTAAATCATTAATTTAATAAACTATTTTAACAAATGTTTTCGGCCTGCTTTTTTAGACTTGATAAGATCGCTGACTAATAATATTCCGAGATACACTACTCTTCTTAGCTGTTTTTTTTTTTCTCTTCCAGTTTTAGAAAACTTCTTTAGAGGACAATGAAGAATTATTCGTACCACCAATTGTTACTTTTACTCCTCTCCTTGTACTTTTCTTACTAATATCTGGTTCTGAAGGGGACCTTTGGCTGACGACAGACCTGATTCTGTATCTTGTGATATAGTCTCCTCCTGGGAAGACTGTTTCGAGCTGCAATTGTGACAGATATTTTTACTCCAGGGGGTAATACAATGCGTGGAATTATTGTTTTAAATGTTTAACTGGTACCGACCAGGTCTTCTTGGTAGTGCCATCATCAAGACGACCTCTTTGTAAACTATTGTAATGGGTCGAAGATATTCCGGCTCCTGAATGGTGAGACTCACTTGCACTAGAGTCAAAGCGCTGTAAAGGTCTCCCTCTCGTAGGTGTTCTTAGCATGGAACAGGCCTGTGTTTTATTTTGGCCAATAACTGTCCAATCTTGCCTAGTTTCTCTGGCTATCAAATTTTCAGTTATTGGTTCTAACCTTCATGTCAGGCTTTATATCATGACATCTGCTCCACGTATCAAATCTACTTTTTGCTTGTCTCTCCCACCATCGCCATAACTCCGTGGTATATTCTCACTTATTAATATCTCTAGGCATTCATCATTTGATCCATTGATATCACTGCAAATTTTTATGTTTTCCAAATTCACGTCACCAGAAAATTTACCTGTTAAATTTTCAAGTTTGACATCGTGCACAAGTTGATTTGTTTCGTCATTCCCAAAAAGGTTATATGAAAGTATTTCTTCCTTTTCTTTCTGTAATTGAAGAACTGATAATTGCTGAAATATCATCGTCATGCCAATTTTTATTTGAATGCCCAACCAAAGTATAAAATTTAATTTCTATTTCTATTCACTTGTCCTGATAACTTATGGATCTATCAAATTCATCCTCCAGTTCTTTTTCATCAATATTTTCATCAACCAGTACCAAAGATCTTACCTTTTTCTCAAACTCTAATAGATGTTTAGCTCTTGCTTCTTGTTTTCTAAATTCCTTTTTGAACTCAGGATCATTTTCTTTTCAACTGAAGCAGCTAAAGTTGTAAGTTGTTTTTTTTTTTTTTTTTTTTTTTTTTTTTTTTTTTTTTTTTGAGATTGAAGGGAACAGTGATTCGAAAAGGTGAAGAGACATACGAGCGTTGGAGGAAACGTTAGTTCTCTCTTCTCTCACTCTCTCTCTATCTCTGTAACTGCTGAAAGAAGCGGACTTATATGGATGAAGTCTTTGGTATTTTCGTACGTTATTCAGATTTATATTAGTTAATAAATTTTATATCAGCTTTAGGTTACTCCGTAAGTTCTTGTTGTTTAATTATAAATAGTTAAGTTTAGATTACTCCTTAGATTAAGTTTTATTAATTATCTATAATCTATTGTTTATTTAGAAATTAGGAAAAATTCTGGTAGAAACTCTGGAGTCTTTGGGGATGATAATATGCAATGGCCGTATTGTTTCGTATAGACCAGGAAAATATACTTTCGTTACAACCAAGGGGAGATCGGTGATCGATCTGGTATGTATAAATGAAAATTGTCTGGACAGATTTATAGACATGGAAGTCGTTAGCATATCAGGGTTTTTGGATCACATGGCTTGTATTACCTCTTTGAAAACCGTTAGAGCACAAAATCCTCCTATGAACAGAATAGCTTCGCCAATAGAATACTTAGTTACCAACTATTCACCGTGGGATGAAGACAAAATTAATTTATTTTGTGAAAATATCTCCAACTCTGAAAAAATTTATTTCTATTCTGAAGATGTGAACCAGCTGTATGATAACTTTAAACAGGCAATGCAGGAGAACTTGTTGGAGTCAGCTTTGATATTTACGAGGAAGATGACCGCGAATACCACTTCGCTACCTGAGCACAAATGAATTGACCAGGAATGCAGGAGAGGTAAACGAAATCTCAAGAAGTTGCAAAGATGAATATAGAAAACTAATAAAAAGGAAAAAAATGGAGTTTAGAGCATCAGTAATTACAAATTTGAGAACTGTAAAAAACAATGGTGAGTTTTGGAAGACGGTGAATATGTTGAGACTATTTCACAATCAAAATAACGAAATAAGTCTGAACGATTGGTTTCAATATTACACGAATCTATACGGCCAAAAAACGATACATGAAACATACTTTTTCTCCTTAACTCATCCACTCCTGAATATCAATATATCATTGGAAGAACTGCAACAAAGCATAGGTACCTGTAAAAAACATAAATCTCCAGGATCTGATAATATAACTCATGAAGTTGTTAAATGTCTCAACCCCTCTTGGGAGCACTACATATTAAATTTATTTAATAACGTATTGAATTCTGAACAAATTCCAGGAATGTGGGCAGAATCTAACTTGCATCTTCTGTATAAGAAAGGTGATAAAAAGGATCCGAACAACTACAGAGGCATATCCTTCCTTAATACTCCAGCAAAGTTATTCACTAGCATTCTAAGGAACAGAATTATGAAATGGGCTGAATTAGAAAAATTAATACCGGAGGAACAGGCTGGTTTTAGAACGGGCAGGGGATGCATTGATCACATATTCACATTGATGTCAGTTGTCAACATTAATTTGAGGTCAAAGGGCAGCTACGTTTACGAAGTGTTTGTCGACCTTAGGAAGGCCTTCGACTCTATCAACCAAAATTTGTTGTGGGAAAGGCTTTTTTCTCTTGGAATGGGGGAAAAACTAATTAGGCTTCTCAAGAAACTATATGATGCTTCATCGATGCGGATAAAGTTAAAAGATGAGCTCTCAGAAGAGATTGGTATCAGTCTGGGCCTGCTTCAGGGTGACAGTCTTAGTCCTGCATTGTTTATCCTGTTTGTGTCGGATATAGTTGAGTACTTCCGTGACCGAGGAGCTGTTGGTATTAGTATATACCACAACCATGAAGTAGTTATGCTTCTGTTAGCGGATGATATTGTGCTCCTCAGTAATTCGTGGCATGGTGCACAAAGAAACATCGATATACTGAGCGAATACTGTAAAATCAAATCTTTGGCCCTAAATCCATCTAAGTCTAAGGTGTTGGTGTTCCATAAATCTCCAAAGATGAAGAAACTTAAGACTTTGGCTTGGCGAGACACAAGTTTGGAGTATACCAGAAACTACACATTTCTGGGTGTACCCTTTCCTTCTTCTGGAAAATTTGAGAGAGCCGCGGAGCATTTCTTACATAGATCATCTGTTGCAGCGACCAAAGTGATGGCAATCCTAAGAAAAGGAAAAAGCGACTCTTGGGAAACAAACACCAGCATCTTTGACTCGATGGTCTCGTCAACACTGTCCTATGCTGCAGAGATCTGGGGACGAGATACCTGGAGGTTTTGGAGAGGACGTAAGTTCGATTTATCAAATCATTGCTCCATTGGCCAAGAAATACACCGAACTATGTGGCTCGCCTTGAAAGTGGGAGATCTCCATAAGTGTTGAAGTGTTGAAAAAAGTGATCAACTATTAGACAAAGCTAAGCTTAATGAGTGACGAAAGACTACCTATACAATGCTTTAATAGGCTTAGAGCTCTAGACTCATCCATGGGAAAACCTGATCCAACTTATAACTGGGTTACCCAAGTAAAGATGATTGTGGCGGAACTCGGATGTCAGGGGTTGTTTTCTTTAAGGTCTGATGAGGTTCAAAGATGAAATCATGGAAAAAATAAGAAACCATCACGCATCCAAGAGCATCGACAGAGTGTTAAACTCTAAATCAAACCCAAGATATAGAAAAATCTGCTCCTTTAATGTTACCAGACCAGAGGATTATCTTCAGTTCAGGGCTCTGAATTTAAACAAATTAAGGGCCGTTAGTCGTCTCAGAGTAGCAAGTAAAGATTTTATGAAAATATAATTAAAAGATGCTACTTTGACTATTAAATCCAGTGAGGTATGTGGTGACTTGTAACTGACCCGGTAACTCATTTTCTGACCCAATGTATCAAGTTCAACGAGCCAAGAAATAAGTACTTGAAGGCATTTATCACTGAATCCAGAGAAGATGCTAGTGTGGAGGAGATACTGAAAATAGACACTACGAAAAAAATAAACCAACTGTATTATTTCATACAGGGCTGTTCATTGAAGTGTTAAGTGGTATAGTTAAACATCTAACATATATTAATGCTTATTTATATTGTCATTTGTGTTATACTTCTCGAATATTTAAAAAAACAAATGTTTTATTAATTTTTATGTAAATATATATATCGTTTACTAATCTGTTATTATATAAGTCATACTTAATGCTGTGGACATTGTTAATGTTATGTTTGAATGCAGTACTAGACTCAAGATCTAACATTGTTAATTATACCATTATATTTATTTGTACAGGAATTTCCTTAGACAAATAAAATAAACTATCTATCTTGCTTATTTAGAAATTTCATTGGGCTTTTTATAGTCTGTTCGTCTAAATTGTATACATCAATAATAAATGTTTTGATTTTGATTATTTATTAATAAAACATATGTTAGGTTGATAAAGTGGATAGGTGAGGTTTTCACATGGTTGTCTATTTAAGCTCGCGTATATGGACGTTAAGACAAGCATTATTACACTGGTGACATGTACAAGGGGTATTAGAAACCGTAAAACATAAAATAAATAACAAATTTGGGTTTATATCAGGTTACCGGTAAAATTAAATTTACGGTCTACCATGGAGGCCGAATTGATGCAGTTAAAAGCTGAATTAAACGAGGTAAAATAGAGATGGAAGATCTAAAACAAGCTTCAATTAGTTTTCAAAGTCCATCGACTAAGGAAAACATATTAAAAAAGGAGTTAGGCTTGCAAAACTGGATACAACCTTGGGGTGGGTTAAGTGATGATGATGATGTAAATACATTTTAAGACATGTTGGTCTGGTAGCTTCTACGGGGGGTTGGACCGAACAGGAGAAGGTGCTAATTTGTCGATCAAAATTAACCGGACTGTGGTGTGTTGCATCTTATCCAGAATTATTAGAATACACTGTTCGATTTGCTTAGATAGCCACAATACTTCACAAGCGTTTCGAAGGATTTTGTACACCCGAACAGCGACTATTCCAGTTAAATTCTGTAGAACAAATGCCCGAAGAAGGAGTGCATGAGTACGCCGATAGGTGCCGAAGGTTTATTAGAGCTAGCAACCCCAAAATCGTTTTCAGTAGAAGAAGCCAGCTGGGCTAAAGATCATTACGAAAATATTGTTACGGCTGAATTTTTAAAGGGTGTGCGACCAGATATTAGGCGACAACTCCTGTTTGACCCTCCATCAACCTTTGAGAGGGCCGTAAATAAGGCGGCAAAAGTAGGCGAAGCGATCGAGTTGTTTTGTTTGCGGTTCTAAGGACCACTTTGCCAGAGCCTTCCCGAGACGCGCTATCACAGCTGTTAACGCTAGCGAAGAGATTAAAACTTTCCCAAAAGCAACGGGCTCGATGTGTGCCCCGCCATCGTAAGCCCGTCCTGAAACGGGGCCACTCACATTGTTCCTAACGTTTTCTCTTTTGGTAGAAAGAAAATATTAGAAATTCCACTGGGGAGACACTCAAAAAACTTCTTTTGAAGCGATCAAAACAGCTTTGTGTTCTCGCTCAGTTTTAATTTATCTAGATTTTAACGATCCATTTATATTATCGACAGACGCTTCGGGTGTAGCCTTAGGGGCTGTCCTTTCTTAGATGAGAGGGGGCCATGAAAGACCAGTGGCATACGGTAGCCGTCAACTTAATAATACCGAGCGAAACTACTCCGCCACTGAAAGGGAGTTACTGGCAGGTGTATGAGCTACTGCTTAATTTAGATGTTACTTATTAGGAAGGAAGTTTACATTAGTAACTGACCATGCTGCTCTCAAATGGATGGTACATTTGAAAGATTCTTCTGCTCGATTAGCACGATGGAGCCTCCGGTTGATAGAGTACAACTTTAACGTGGTTCATAAGCCTAGAGTACGTCATAAAAACGCTGATGGTCTCATCGGAGGAGTTGCAGCAGTAGATTATAGGTTGGGCTATTATAAAATTTATTTAATGTAATAGTTTAATGCCTACAGTTGACATAATTAATAAAATTTTTGTTATAATTAATGATTTGTTAGCTATAAGCTTTAAGCTGTAACTCCGTTAAAAATGCACTTCAAAAATTTTATAATAACCCAACATTGCCAGAAAATAATTTCTATTCAAAGTAGAGCGGTAAGTGAAAGTTGTGTGTTGCGCGCACCAGAATTTTTATTTTAGAATGCCTTATTTATAATTTAAAGTTTTTAAACATATTTTACAAACTCTGTGTAAGTTGTAGGGCAAAATTTTTACCATATTTGAATATCATATAAAAAAATCCAACTATCCATCGAATATAACAGATGGAATTCCGTTCGTAAAATAGTTGGTTAAAATTCCGACATGACTTAAACATCGGCTGATGTTGTTGTGGATTGGTTGTGTTTGTTGGTTCTTTTTAGTGATTCTTGAATCATTTCTTCTAATGAAGTATTCCTCACGATTTGATTCACATGGGACATGATTTTGGTGCCAAATACTAATTACATTTAATAAGGTAGAGAGATGTTATAATCGAATTACAGCTGTCAAGTAATTTTCCGGGTATTTTGTATTATAATAATGTTAGTGTATATCTAGAAATAATTTGTTGATTACAGAACCAGAAGTGCACACTGTACTATAGAAAAAGCTGTAATTGATTTTATTATGTTTAAATTATTTATGTATGTTGAATTTTGTCCTTAATTCACATGTTCCCTATTTTAATTCTTTTTTATTGATTATGTGGACTATCTTTTGGACTACAGAGCTGTATTTTTTAAATTTTTCTGTAAATACTTAAGATCTTTTATAGAAGATTTGAACTTAATAAGCAGTATGATCACTGATATGAACAGATCAGCCCTGTATGTTAACACTTAATTTTTTGTTTATTAATATTCTGTTTTGGTAATTTCAAAAATGTCAAATCTATTACAAACCTTTACAAATTTTAATTCTAAATCAATCTCCTTTTTTAGTTGTTTCTTGAAACAGATAACGAGTGTCCTTTATTGACTTCATAATAATTTAATTTTAGAATATTTGAAATTAGATTAAGACTGTAGTACTGAATTATGCCTGTGCATGAGCTCGACATTCATAGTATTGACCAATTTGCTGAACTTTAAACTTCTAGAAAATCTTTAATAGTGGGGTAATTACAACAGAACTTCTTAAATTCAAATTTAAAGGAATACTAAAAATTGTTGAACTAATGAAGTTGTTTTGTATATTAATTTATATAAAAGTTCCATGGTGATTATTTAATCCATTGAAGTCACCTATTTTAGTTTTGGTTGTATTAGGAAAAATATGTTAAATGTGTATGTCCGATAATAAAACAATTGGCAAAGACATAACTTCATCATTTATTCAAGTACTTCAGTAATCACAAAACTTTTTATGTGAAGTTAATTAAATAAACATGTCTATGTACATTCATATTTTGAACTTTATCAACAAAAGTGAACAGTAAAGATTGTTCTGTCAAAAGAGTTATAACTTTTTTAACAATAACCCTGGTATCACATATGAATCTTTTATTTTTCTCCTTCATAAATAAACTAATCAGACAATTCTGTGGGGTAAGTGTATTAGCTTTCTCATGAGAATATAATATTAGATTGTAGAATAGTATAAGTCGAATTACAGACTTTTTTTTCTTTGTCTTTTAAAATTACAAGATATTATTAACTTCCTTATAGCCTTCTTCAATGTAAAGACCTGTTGAAGCAGAGAAGAATGTACCTTCCTTGTTTTCTAAATAATCCTGACGCTCATTACAGCCTGTATTTAACTGATAAGAAGTGCAATTTTTGTTATTATTTTCCTTCTAAAATATTGGTGTTTCTCTCAGTGGCTGAGAAAGTGATTTTATGAATCCACTTGTGCGGAAAGGATTTTTCTAAAAGCAATTCATTCTTAATACAGAACTCAATTAGGAGCTGTCCACTTTCCTTATCTGGGACAGTTATCCACTTGAGCCTTTGGTTATTGTCTCCCCTCATCGATCACAGATGCATAGGCATCCACTTGTGCTTTCGGTGGTTTATGTCAAGCCCTAGCGATTGTGGAGCATAGGACCAATTGTGCTCAGAGGTCTGGTTGAAATTTTTTTTTATCTGATCATATTGGAACTAGGGGTGTCACCTGGGCCGTTGCTTTTGTAGTGGTCGTGTGTTTGCAGCTGCTCTATGCACCATTACGACATTACCAGTGTCGTGCCGGTCGTGATTTTGGTCTGCCCAGCCAACTGGTTTCAGTGTGCTGATGAGCATTTGAAAGCTAGGATGCATCCTCTCTATGAGTGCCTGTAGGTACTTGCGTCCTCTTGTCTGGCAAAGGGCAAGGTGAGGTTGAGGGTCCGTTAAAACCATCGGGTAGTTATGGCCCTCTTCCGATAACCAAACTCCATATGACGGGGTATTCACTATATCCGCTTACATTCTTTATGCACTCTCCATCATGTGGGTCCATTACTTCATATGCGTTCAAGTGGTCACTGACTGTTATCGCATTGAGATCTCCCATTATCAAAATTTTTATATTGCTGTTTCTTGCTTTAACGACAACTCAACAGGTTGCTATAGAACTATTCTTTCTCCAGATTGTCAGAAACATTTGTAGGAGCTTATACTTGGATTAGTGCCCAGTTTCTGATCTTGATATTTATACTTGCCATTATTATGCGAGGATTTACTAAGAGGTTCCCATTCTACCACCTTCTTAAATAATTCATCTTTCATGATGATGCCCACACCTTCTTCCACCCTGTGCCTTGGGAGGACTCCTGAATAGACTAGGGCTTCACCAGAGCCTTTATTTTTCATCTCACTTAACCCAAGAATTTCCAGCATATATGCCATCATTTCATTGATGATTTCAACTTCTTTACCAGTGAGTGATCTCACATTCCAGGTGCCCAGTTGTATATCCCTATCCATGCCAAGTCATTTCCATCTAGACAGTCCAATTTCTAAGGTATTCATGAAGTTTCTTTGAATCAGCTATACTCCTAGGTGGGTGATTGGCCCAGCCCAGGTATCCTCATTCAAAGTGTGAAAATGACGATTGCTTTGTGAAATGTAGTGAAGTCTCAATAATTCACATTTCTTATGAATTATTGAAAATCACTTATATCTTCTTCATTACCAATTTCCAGCTATTGGGAGATTACAGATTTTGAGAAGAGTGAGTGACCGTGACCTACATTGAAACTATTGGTACTTAGTCAATGCATAATTTGATGTATGAAGTTTTTTCTCTTAGGAAACTCATTTCCAAGCTACAGGGACATTTATATTAGTTTGTCTCAGTTTTAGAGAAATTTGATAAAAATCAGCATTCATTGACCAGGGTTATTGAACATACCACTTGTCCAAATCACATTATTTCAATTTACTCTTTTTGATCTTCAAGTTTACTGGCCTAATATTCTTTAAATCAGCTACCATTTTTTAAAGCAATGGTTCTAGAATGGTAGACAACGTTCATTTTACATAGAATTACATGCACTTTTATAATTTACATGAAACAATTACATTAAATGAAACAAAACATTTTTTAATACAAATAAAACCAATATATGGTAATTTGTAAATGAATTTTGCCCTGTAAAACCCTTTTTTTTTATTCCTACCCTGGTTTCACATTGATAATACTCTATATACTGACAGCCCAGTATAATTGCAATATTTAAATTTTTTTTTATGGATCAGAATGAGTATATAAAAGAAGAAAGTATAGCCCAAGTTCTCTTCATAGGCCTCAATTCCTATTGGGACAGTGGGGATGTGTGTACCCCAATGTATTAAAATGGTCATTCATTTCCATCAATAATGTGAATGGTCCATATGTTCATGGTTTTGTGTACAAGCATAAAATAATTTACACAATGGGATTAAGAAATTTATAATAATAAATAAGTTAACTATTATTATTGTAAGCGATTAGTATTCTGAGTTTAATATCAATTCATGTTTATCCAGGTTTACATATTACACTAACCATGGCGAGGACAAGTATTTAAAAGTACAGGTGTGCTTGGTTCGAGTATGTTTTCCTGTGCAACTCCAGATAGAGGAATGTTACTTGATCTCGATGGTAAGGTCTGAGGTTTTAGGAAGTTTTTTTTCTTTAAAATGTCTTATAGGTATGTTTTTAGAATTTTAAATTGAGTGGATAATTAGCGAATACTGTGTTGTACATTTTTTTATAAGTTTTTTAGTTAACTTAAATTGATGCGGATTGACATTTTGTTAATCAATTCTGTAGGAGAACTAAAAAAGAAAGATTTAAC